CTAGGCAATTGTTCTTTCCCTTTTCTCTCATTTTTTTTTAATAGTTGTAACTGAGGCCTGTCTTTTCTATCGACTGCAATACTCTTTTAAAGATCAGCCAGAGTTATTTTATTACTTCTGCTTTATAAACAGGAGTAAAATCCTAACTAGAATCCGGCCTCCAGGACTGAAACTTGAGATGGAGAGAGAAGTTTCCTGTGTTTTAGTATTTAATTTCTCCTCTCAGTCAGGGAAACTAGATTTCAATAATGTGTTCTTTTCATTTAGAACTGTTTCAAAGGTAAAGGAGGTAGCATTTCAATAGATTCCCTGCAAAATAAAATCTAAATAAAAACTAATTTTTTCCAAATACAGAATGCCATTTAGTATAACGTCTGTCTTAATTAGTGTCAATTGAAAAGGAAATTGACCTAGAGAAAAGGAAATTGGATTCATGTCTTAGAAATTAGTTCCTGGTTTCATGGTCTGTAGTCATCATTACCTGAAAGGGCAACTGTGCAATGCTCTATTTTTCTGAATGGCTGTTCCAGGCCTAAGATCTTTTGGGTTTTTCTCAGGTGATAGGCTCCAATGAGCCTTGCCACATTTTAGTATAATACTGGTCAGATTATTTTCACTAACCCTGTTGACTCTTAAGTGTCCTAAACTTTATAACTCATTAATATTCACCAAAATGTTCTGGAAGGGATGTTTGTCCCAAGGAAGAAAAAATTGATGAGAAAATAAAAACTATGTTTAAATATTTTAATCCTCTCATGTGAATGAGAAAAGAAACTTAATGTTTTCCAGAGGGACGTGCTAGGAATGATGAGGAGATACTTTGTGAAGTCAGATTTGCTTCAATGTGAGGAGTAAGTGATTTAAAACCAATAGAGCTTCTGACAAGGTCAGAAGTGGTTTCCCTGTGCTCAGTTAATACCCAGACAGTTTGAAATGCAATCACATAATCTGAATAAAACCTGTGAGGTAATTCCTGGCTCTGGGATTTTCTGATTCTGTTATTCTCATGCTTGGGCTATAGAAATACAAAGGATTACTTCTCTGCTAGATACACTTCTTAAAATGACCCATCACCCTTCCCATACTTCGTGATGCTGGTGGTTCTCTCTCTCTCTCTCTCTCTGTCTCTCTCTCTCTCTCTCTCTCTCTCTCCCTCTGTTTTCTTCCTCCTCCGCCTCTTCCCGCTCCTCTCCCCATCTCTATATCTTTCATACATGTGTTGTGGGAGAAGGGAACGGCACAGGGAACTGGAAACTGTATTTTCCAGTAGTTTTGTTTTGTTTTGTTTCTGTTTCAGTACATTTTGGTCTTTTGTTGTGAGTGTTGTTATATCAAATGACATAATTTTAACCAATTATGTCTTTCCTCCTGTCCCAGAAAGGGGGAATATTTTGATTCATGGAATCAAGCTGCAACAAGACCATGAATATAGTTCTCTTAGAAACCAAGGAAACCAGCCTCTGGAACACTGCTTAGGGGTCTCTTTCTTATCTCTTGTCTCCGCCTTCCTCTGTGTTGGCTTCATCTCTTCTATTGCTAATCAGCTTTTTCCAGGTCACATGGTGCAAGGTGCATGGTTTCTGGGGGCATCTAAGTTTTTAACTAAATTTTAATAGAGGACTGAGCATCTTTCTTGTGTACCCATTTTAAAAATCCTAAGAAAGTACTTAGTTTGAATGAGGTATCCACTCCTGTGGTCTGAGGGGCAATAGATTCCTATAATTGTCAGCCCCATTGAAGCACATGGGAAAACAAAGCAATTAAAATCCACTGTTGGGTTGAATTCCTTTATGTAACAAACAGCTATAACACCTACTATATGGTAGGCACTATTGTCTGTGCTTTGCAAATGTTAATTTATTTAATCCTGATACTATCATTCCTATTATTTTTATTTTCCTTTAGAGATGAAGAAACTGAGGCACAGAGCACTTAAAGAACGGCTCAGGGCAGGACTGGACTGAATCAGAGTCTATGCACATGGCACAGCCTGCTTCACATTCACAAAGTCTGAGAATGTTACCCTCAGAGCTACTTTCTAGATCCTTATCCCATCTCTCTTCTCTTCTTCACAGAGTTTTATCTTTTTACTGTGTACTTACGCTTAGCATAGCAGTCTTTTTGACTGGCCCCCAGTCTTTCTCCCCCAGCTGACAGATGAATAATCTTCATCTGGTTGAGATGTCAAGTGGTGAGAAATATTGGCATTCCTTAAAAAAGCAATTTATCTTTTTTTCTCAAATGTATCACGTGCAGTTAGGTGGCACTGACTTGTGCCCCCACTGACCAAATTTCACAGAGATGGCCTGTCAGAGCCTGGAGAATCTTTTGAGGGATGGATGTCTTCTCTATGGAAATATCCCAATTACTGTTTCTTGTGGGAAATGCAGCATCACCCCAGAGATCTGTGGCCATCAGGAAAAGTTGCCAAGCTGAAGGGACATCCATCTTCATTTTCAGTAGGGACACCACCATCTTCTCTAACTTGTTCATCTTGAGGAATAGAAAACTCTCACTAAATAAATGAAAAAGGATGGCAGAAAATAATCCACAGTGACTTATGCATCATTCTCCATCCATAAATAACTTTATATTTCACTTCTGGCAGCAGAGCCGAGCCAGGAGGTAATGAGCCATTGTGGAAAACCCATCTGTTGCTCATAAGGGGAAAGGCCAGATTTATGGAGGAAGAATCTGGAGTGTAAGTCCTGTTATTGTTAATGGAAGTTGCACATCTAATTGGTCATGCTGAAAATATGCCCTATTATATTATTTTCGTGGCCAGATGGATGTGCTGAGCTGCAATGCTGAGAAGAAAAATGTACCTAAAGAATTCAAGAGTAGGAGTGGGCATCCCAGCCGGTAGGGAACTGACAGTTCTAATAAGGACAGATAGTACTTGTCCATGGACCTGATTTAAAGATGTTTTCCAAAGAACCCAAAGGGCCCAGTCCAGGTATTTCTAAATGGAGTACTGTAGTCCAGTCCCCTGGAGTGGATAGTGCTGAATCATTTCAACTAGCTCCCACCAGCCCCATCATTAGAAACACTTCTGCCTCTCATTCTTTTGTAACTGGGCCACTGGTACTTAATAATTGCTTTGAGACTTCCTTAGAATGGTGCTGGATATCAGCAATTGAAAGCCTTTTGTCCAGCCTTCTCTTTACCGCTGTCTTTTCTCCCAGCATCCTCTTTACCACTGTGGTAGGAAGAAAAACAGAAATCAAAGGCAAACTCATATACTAAAATGTTTCCAATCATGTTTGAATTAAAGTTGACAGAAGTGAAGGATTGTATCTTAAGACAATTTCTGGTACATTGCAGTTGCTTAAGAAACAGTGAACGAAGGAGAATAAAATCAAGTAACACTGATTCACAGAATCTTAGAGATTCAACTCTCTGAGCAGTCTTACATATTTTTACTAGTTAGAGTGTGTTAACTGCTATAACAATCCCTAATTCAAAGTAACTTAACAAAGGTTTAGTGCTCTCATGTTGTGGCCCAAAGTCATGGATGTGAAGAAGGGGCATGTGGTGGCAGGCGACACAATGCTCCCCATCTTGCAATTCTTCCAACTTCCTACCTGCTCTCCAAAGTCACACAGATGGAAAGAAGAGTGAGGAGGCCCTGGCAGGGTGCGTTACTCTTGAGTCTTGGAGTGAGATGTGTCACCTCCACCATTATGCTGGTCAAAACTCAATTATCTGGCCCCAAATAATAAAGCAAAAGCTGGAATATGTAATTTTCCCACATGCCCAGAAGGAAAAGAGATGCATTTGGTGAACACATGGAATTGTCACTGCTACTGAGACCCTTTAGTCAGTGCCTTCATTTTACAGATGGTCAAACAAGTGCTGAGACTGAATGACTTTCAGCAAGTCACATGATTGGTCGTTGGCAGACTCAGAACAAGAACTCTGATTTCCTATTTCCTAATACCACTGTGCATGTGGGGGAGAGAGAGTGAGAGCAAGAGCGAGAGTGAGAGAGAGAGAAAGAGAATGGAAGACACAGAGAAAGTAGAGAAATTGGGTAAGGGGAAGGGGCGAGGAAGGGGGAGGAGGAGGGGGAAGAAGGGGAGGGAAGGGAGGAAGGCAGATACTGGAGCACCCTATTAGGAGACCTGGAGAGGAGTCAGAACATCCAAACTCATGATCCTGACTCTGTGAGTCATCAGCCTGACTAATCACTTACACTCCTCATTTTTCCCTTCTATGAAGTAAGAAGTGTGAGTGACTATTGAGATCCTTTCGAACTCTAACAATCTTCTATTAAGAGACCTCGGGAAGAATAAATCAAAATACAGTCACGCATCATTTAACGATGAGGATACTTTCTGAGAAATGCATCATCAGGCGATTTTGTAATTGTGTGAACATTGTAGAGGGTACTTACACAGGCTTAGATGTTATAGCCCCTACACACCTGGGCTGTATGGTATAGCCTATTGATCCTGGGCTACAAACCTGTAGAGCATGTTATTGTACTGAGTACCATAGGCAATTATAACACAGTGATAAGTATTTGTGTATCTAAACATACAAAAGTTCCAGTAAAAATATGTGTACAAGATACAGTATAAAAGATTTAAAATGTTGCACCTGTATAGGGTATTTACCATGAATGAAGCTTGCAGGAACTGTGAGTTGCTCTGGGTGGGTCGGTGAGTGAGTGAATAGTGAGTGAATGTGAAGGTGCGGGACATTACTGTGCACTACTGTAGACTTTATAAACATTGTACACTTAGACCACGCTAAATGTATTTAAATTTATTTTCTTCAATAGGAAATTAACCTTGGCTTACTGTAACTTTTTGACAAACTTTTAAATTTTTAAAACTTTTTTAACTCAAAATAATGCTTAGCTTAAACACAAACATTGTATGGCTGTACAAAAATATTCTTTCCATATATCCTTATTCTATAAGCTTTCTTCTGTTTCTAAATTCTTAAATTTATTTTTATTTTTTCAACTTCTTTGTTAAAAACTAAGACACAAACACACACATTAGCCTAGGCTTCCACAGGGTGACGATCATCAATATCACTGTCTCCCACCTCCACATCTTCTTCCCCTGGAAGGTCTTCAGGGGCAGTAACACCCATGGAGCTGTCATCTCCTATGATAACAATGCCTTCTTCTGCAATACTTCCTGGAGGATCCACCTGGAGCTGTTTTTCCATTAATTTTAAAAAACATACAAGTTAGAAAGAACACGTTATAAAATAATGATAAAAAGTACAGTACAGTAAATAAATAAACCAGTAACATTATCAAGTATTATGGACTGTATGTAATTGTATGTGCTATACTTTTATGTAACTGGCAATGCAGTAGGTTTGTTTATACCAGCTTCACCACAAACACATGAGTAATGCATTGCACTGCAATGTTGAGATGGCTATGGCATCACTAGGTGATAGGAGTTTTTAGCTCCACAATAAAATTATGGAACCACCATCATCTATGTGGTCTGTTGTTGATCTAAAGGTCAGTATGCAGTGCATGACTGTAATAAGAGAAGCTGTCAAAGTCAAGCAAGTGGATATGAGATGAGGGATGTGATAAGGTTAAAGAAAGACAGGTAGATTCAACCTTCTGGGCATCATGGCTTGTAAGGATGGCAGAGAGGCTTCTCACCCAGTAGTGACTCAGAGACCATCTTCCTGGAGTCCATTTTGTCCTCGTATAGACTCTCTCTCCTCCTACTCCCCCAACCCAGGCCCACTGCTGTCTCATCAGAGATCCATGGTAAGAGCCCCACTGCCTGGCTGTCACAAGACTTGGGAGCAGCCTGGCCAACGGCAGGGCTGAGGCGGCCTGGCAGCATGTAGCTGGGCAACTGCCCCTTTTCCCACCTTCTCAGGAGCTTCACTCTCTCACTCAGCTTGAAATGTGCAAGTTGCAGCAGCAAAGGGATTAAGGTGACCCTACAGGAGGCTTCATTAACTGCTCCGAGGCCAGCCAACCCTGAGAGACTGTCCTCATGCAGGGGTGATAACAGGCCACAACAAAGCAGCTGGCAGCAGACTCAAATCCCTTTTCAATTCTGCCCACTTTAGCTTGTTCAAAGGGGAAAGGAATCAATTTCTGAGATCAGCCTTTCCCTTAAACACAGCCAAGTGGCAGCCAAAGCATAAAAAGAGGTAATCCTTCAAGGAGTGGCACTTCAGGCTCATCAAACACTTTCATCTCAGGATTCTAAAATCTTTTTCAATCATTAATCGTTTTCTCTAAACCTTCTGTTCTCAGAATCATGCAGAAGCAACGTGGACGCTCTGCAAGGAAGGATGGAAAGCACGAATCTAAAAGGCACCAGGGGAGCACAGCTACATTTCCATCTTCCACCTGGTTTCTGTAAATAACATGAACAGAAATAAAAAATTGCTTGAAATAATGGCTATCATATTGAGACAGCATTGCTCAAACCTGGAGAGGGAGCAATTATAAGGTAGGAAATCTAGAGTTATGGTTTTCCCTCACCTGGACTCCACTGATGGTGTGGCTGGATCAATCCCTTAATATCTCTCAGGGTCTCTCTGTCTTCACCTTTGACTGGGTTAACATGGAAACATTTTCTAATCATTATGAGAGACCCAGAGACAATAACCTTAGACTGCAAACTCTCAAATGGGTTTATATTTGTGGAAGGTATGATTTTATAGCTACAACATTAGGCAATATAGAAAGAATTACACTTCCTTATTTTTTAACCAGCAGCCTAAACCAGACACCAGCTGTTATCTCAAAAGGCTGATGGAAAATTTGATATCAGCCATAGAGATGCTGCACTATCACAGTTTAGGAATTCTCAGGGGCTTGGGTCACTGGTCCTCACCAATTCATGATGAGCTGTCCATTGGCAGAACTTGCTCAGCTCCTCGAGGACTGCTGACTGCTGCTTTTGTTAATGGAAATGCCAGCTGATTTTGGAAGCCTCAGTTCCACAGGTTCTCTACTTCATGTCCACCAGGCACCTTCCCTCTGAGGTCTCATTGTTTCCCCAGTGCTGTCATGCAGAGGAGGTGGTGTGTGCTCCCTGTCCACAGGATGGATGCCTTCTAACCCCTTCCTGGAAGAAGGCAGGAAGGAATTGATTGGAAGAAATCTTTCTTCTTTCCTTTACTACTGACAAAGACTCTCTTCTTTGACCAAACTTAAGTCTAGCTCCTCTGAGCTCCCTTTGTGACAAGCCCAGCTTTGGGCTCTGCCCTTTTCCAGTTTAGTCCAGTTTTAGCAGGACTCCTGCTATGTCACTTTAGCAAAACTCTCCCATATTTGATATCTGATTAAATTCCCTATCCCCCATCCTCAATGTGTTATCACCTCGGCCTGCCTTCAGCAAGGATCCTGTCTGTCCAATTAGTTTCACCAGAATCCCCTTTACCCCTGATGTTTCCTCTTAGTAATTGTCTATCCACTGCCTCCAACACTGCTCCTTGGCTATAAATCCTTGTTGTATTTGAAGTTATACTTGACTCCTCTATGCTGCTAAAGAACATGTCATGAATAATTTTTTTTCTTAACACTATCTTCAAAGTCATTCCACCGTTTCCCTTCTTACTTTATACTCTTTGCACAGTGAAATTTTTTTTAAAAAAAGAAAAATGTGGCCAGGCGCAATGGCTCACACCTGTAATCCCAGCATTTTGAGAGGCCAAGGCAGGCATATCAAGAAGTCAGGAGTTTGAGAATAGCCTGGCCAATATGGTGAAACCCCATCTCTACTAAAAATACAAAAATTAGCCAGGCGTGGTGGCACATGCCTGTAGTCCCAACTACTCAGGAGGCTGAGGCAGAAGAATCCCTTGAACCTGGCAGGTGGAAGTTGCAGTGAGTTGAGATCACGCCACTGCACTCCAGCCTGGGTGACAGAGTGAGACTCCATCTCAAAAAAAAAAAAAAAAAAAGAAAAGAAAAGAAAATGTAAAGGCCATGGCTCTTGGTTTGAAAAAGAGAAAGAAAAATTATAAAATGAGCAAAATGGCTTCAAAAATTTTAATAAGCCATCTTCCTAAATTCTGTCACAAAGAAAACCAACATAGACTACCCCCATCTCAAATTACAGAAGAAGCAAGGTTCAGCCAAAGAGATAGGGAGAAGACAAAAATAGAATCTGCGTGTTTGTGGTGCATCTTCTGGTCACTAGTGTTTGCTATAGATAAGGTTAATGGATACTGGGATTTACTAAAAACTGCTTGTGGCTTGAGTGATTCAGAAGGAACTTTCTATAAGCCTGTATCAATACTTTCATCACTCCATGTTAGGTAAAGGAGAAGGGGTCAAATAGTTCACTCAGTTTGTCTTCTATCTGAAATACTGCACTTAGTCAACTTCCACAATGAGCCAGCAATTTCTCTTGAGGAAACCCATTACAGATAACAGTTGTTGGACCAAATCTAAACTTCCCCTGGCTAATCACAATTCCATACTCTAGTCTAGAATCATAAAGTTTGTTGGGAAGAAAATTAACTTCTGCCAGACTTCCATTATGTGCCAGACATTTTCAGAACACTTTTTATGTTTGCTTCATACAAATTCTGAAAGGTAGCGATTATTTTCTCCATCAAGGAGATGCAGAAAGAAATCAAGGAGGTTTCAAGGAGGTTAAGTGATTTGCCAAAAGTCAGTTATAAGACAAAAGGGTGGTACCTCAGTTCTAAAGCAACGTCCTTCCCACTGTACCAGGCTATGTGCCAACTTGTACATAATCATCTGTAGAAATATTATTTCTAATGAGATCACTGCCGTGATCCCACTAACTTTTCCAGGTTAACCATTTGCTCACCATTATTCTGACAATAAAAATAGTAGCCAACATTTCTTAAGGACTTTATTATGGTCAAGATTTCTGGTCATGCCTTTACATGGACCACCTCATTTAAATATCTCCAGAACCCTATGAGACAGATTCAATTGTACTCTGATCTTACAGTCATAGAGTTACCCAGCTTGTTAACAAATTAAAGTCTTGCCTATGCCTCTTTGGCAAATGGTTGCCTGCATTCTCCTGAGGCAAATTCCTAGAGAGATTGCTTTTTCAATTGTCTACACATTTTAAAATATCTTATTTCACCTATTGAATCAGACTCAACTTAGTATGTCACTACTTTCTGAGCAAGGAAGATGAAGATCTTGCAGTTTCATTACAGTGCCGTAGAACTTACTAATAAAATCACTAAATTAAGGTTACCTTTCTGCACCATTTTTTCAAAGAGTTGTTGACATGTTTCATACCAAGAAAGACCTTTCCCCTCATCCTTGGCCCCAAATTTCCAGCCCTAACAGAGGTGATGAACTCAAAGTATGATAATGCAAGCAAATAAACCTCGCTGGTGGTACTCTGAATTTAAACTCATGCTTTTACATTTCTAACATGGTCTCATACACAGAAATAATATAACAGCATTAATTCTATCTTACAATGGGAATTGTTCAACTACAAAATTCAGGCATCTGAAGACAAAGTCCTATGAATGGCTAGTACACTCCCCTTCCTACACCCTTGCCAAATTTCCGGAGGAAACACTAACTGCAATGCATTGCCATTTCGGAAAAGTCTTATTTTCCCCCTAATAAAAGGTCTCCTCAGTTGGAAGCAGAATGTCAGGATGTCAGATGATAATCATGAACCTCCTGATGTTTACAGTGAAAGAAAAACTTAATTCATGGCCATTAAAGTCAAACAACCAAAGTCTAATGAACAACAATACACAAGATAGATGAATCTCACTGGCATAATGTTGAGTGGAAGGAATGAGACCCAAATAAGCACACATGGTATGGTTCTATCTGTATAGTTCTGAAAGCGTGTAAGTTAAACCTATAGCCCCACATCAGGATAGGAATTACTTTGAGGAGGGAGTGCCTAGAAATGACAGCAAAATAAATTTCTGGGATGGTCATTCTGTTTCTCGATCTGGCTCTTGGTTACATGAATGTGTATAATTTGTGAAAAGTCATTGAGCTGTAATGCTTTGTGTACTTCTCTGTATGTTATACTTCACTAAAAATCTATGAGAAATCAAAAAGTCAAAACCACTAAAAAATTTATTCACATGAAAATATACACAAAACACACACAAAAGTTTGTTCAGCATTGCAGATATTGCCAGAAAAATTGATTTATAGGGCATCAGAATTTTAGTTAAAGAAAGTACTGCTTATTAAATCTATTATATTCAGATGGAGAGCCAGAGAATGACATTTTTCTATTTCCCCTTCTTTATCTTCAAATTTTTTTTGAAAAAATAATGCCTTTTGAATTAAGAAGGAATTCATAGAATATCAGTAAGAGACAGTAAATTACCTTCACTTACTCACTAAAAAATCAAAATTATCCCTTCTTATTTTAAGGAGGATACTTAAAATAAGTGGAGTCAGGTCATTAAATCAATTCTATGCAGGCTGAGACATTGTTCTCTCAGAAAAGGAAGCCAGTTATCATCATATGCTTAATTATAACCTACCAAGGTTTTATTTGTAGGCCACCATAATGCTATCTTAAAAACAGATGTTTCATAAAATACTGTTCTACAGATGAGTTTGGCATATTGGAGAAGTTACCAATTTCTCCTCCCTATATCCTGATACAGTGGGAGCTGAAGCACTCGCTTAATTTGTTCTTCTGGGAAACCATCCTCATACCTGGAGGTCTGGGGTAGAAGCCCCTCCTTTGAGCTGCCAAAGAGCCATATGCTAACTCCATCATTGGATTTAGCATATTCCAGCTTGTCAGTTTACATATTCATCTTCTACTCTATAATATATGCAATTTGACCACAGGTGAGATACATGTGAGGTTGCTCTGTCCCTGTGTGCTCAGTCTGCCTCAGCAATCACCTGCAGCTGCAGGGAGCAGGAACTGTATACCCTGACATCTTCCCACCTCAAGTGCTTAAATCTCTGTAATACTCTACTTGCAGGAATTTGCTCAGCCATGCAGGGCAGCCTAAACGTCCTGGAGACTTATTGCTTTACAACCAATGAGGGTTAGATATTGGCGGATTAATGCCCCAGTATCTGTTTACTGTTGCATAATAAAACACCCCAAACGCAGAGCCATACAACAACATTGATTTTACCGGGGAGCTCACAAATTCTCAGAGTCAGGAATTTGGAAAGAGTAAGCAAGGACGACTTGTCTCTGCACCACGATGGTTAGGTCTCATTGAGAAAATGCAGTCGTGGAGTGACTTAGTAACTGAGGGTAGGAATCATCAGAAAGCTTACTTAAAAATTTTCTCCCATTCTGTAGGTTGCCTCTTCACTCTAATGGTAGTTTCTTTTGCTGTGCAGAAGCTCTTTAGTTTAATTAGATTCCATTTGTCAATTTCGGCTTTTGTTGCCATTCCTTTTGGTGTTTTAGTCATGAAGTCCTTGCCCATGCCTGCGTCCTGAATGGTATTGCCTAGGTTTTCTTCTAGGGTTCTTTATGGTTTTAGGTCTACCATTTAAGTCTTTAATCCATCTTGAATTAATTTTTGTATAAGGTATATGTAAGGAAGCTATCCAGTTACAGTTTTCTACATATGGCTAGCCAGTTTTCCCAGCACCATTTATTAAATAGGGAATCCTTTCCCCATTTCTTGTTTTTGTCAGGTTTGTCAAAGATCAGAGGGCAAATATCCAGAATCTACAAAGAATTTAAATAAATTTACAAGAAAAATCAACCCCATCAAAAAGTGGGCAAAGGATATGAACAGACACTTCTCAAAAGAAGACATTTATGCAACGGACAAGTGAAAAAATGCTCATCACTGGCCATCAGAGAAATGCAAATCAAAACCACAAGGAGATACCATCTCACACCAGTTAGAATGGCAATCATTAAAAAGTCAGGAAATAACAGGTGCTGGAGAGGATGTGGAGACATAGGAACACTTTTACACTGTTGGTGGGACTGTAAACTAGTTTAACCATTGTGGAAGACAATGTGACAATTTCTCAAGGATCTAGAACTAGAAATACCATTTGACCCAGCCATCCCATTACTGGGTATATACCCAAAGGATTATAAATCATGCTGCTGTAAAGACACATGCACGTGTATGTTTATTGTGGCACTATTCA